AACGCAACGTGTAAAAAGACAGTACAAGTCATTATAATCCGTAATTATGTCCCCACTGGATGCAACAAATGCCTCGTTTATAATGGGTTTTAATGTTTTTTTCTCGTCGCTCTGGCCGGACAGGGCATCACAGTATGGTAAGCGGCATAACATTTCCGTCACACGCTTGAGGTATTCGGCCAATCACAATGCTCTGGATAGCTGGCCAATCAGAGCACACCTCGCTTTTCAGACCGATGAGCTTTGTAAAAATCGATGCGTTTTAGAAAGGCGGGGCATAGAGGAGAAACAATAATGTACAGTATGTGGAAAATAATGTGTTTTTTGAACCTTAAACCGCATAAACACATTTCATTACACCAATACACTAAATAATGTTATTTTTAGCAGCATCATTTAATATATATCATAACAAAATAAATCTTTATTGTAACACTTTTCAGGTTGTGAAACTGATAACCAAATAGATGGAGTGGCAAAGCTGGCTCCCATTGTAGCATGCTATGCTGGAAAGCCAGAGATGTTGGAGAGGGTTGAGGAAGCCACCCGTGTCACGCAAAACAATGGCATATGTGTGGCAGTAACTCTCGCTGCTGCTAGGTTGGTAATATATGATTGACAACACGAGATGTGTACATACATCTTAGCACAGTTTGCCTCAGAAACAGGTCTATTTATTTTTCAGGTTTCCAACATAGAAGGTGGCATATTACAAATGGGACCCTGGACCACAAAACCAGTCTTAAATCGCTGGGGTATATTTGTAGCAATAGCCAAAAATACATTGTATGGGTCAAAATTATTGATTTTTCTTTTATGCCAAAAATAATTAGGACATTAAGTAAAGATCATGTTCCATAAAGATATTTTGTAAATTTCCTACTGTAAATATATCACAACTTAATTTTTGATTAGTACTATGCATTGCTAAGAACTTCATTTGGGCAACTTTAAAGGCCATTTTCTCAATTTTTTTTTTTTTTTTTTTTGCACCCTCAGATTCCAGATTTTCAAATAGTTGTATCTCGGCCAAATATTGTCCTATCCTAGCAAACCATACATCAATCAATGGAAAGCTTATTTATTCAGATTTCAGATGATGTTTAAATCTCAATTTCAAAAAAATGTACCCTTATGACTGGTTTTGTGGTCCAGGGTCACATATTAGAATGTTCATGGAAATGGTGTATGAATTGATCTCCATAATAATATGGGAAATATCAGTGCTAACAGTTCTTTTTTCTTCAGGTTCTTGGAGCATTTCATACTGAACGGTCCTGATCCGAAGGCCTTGGATGCAGTGCTGGAACAACTCAGTGACACAAACAGAAAAAACCCTCAGGAGTTGGACAAAGCTATAATTGGTATAAGCAGCTTTAAATTGTTATTAGTATTGTTGAGCTGGATTCTTAGGGCATGTTTACATTTGGCAGCTTTGGTTTGAGTAAAAAGAACTTTGACAGTGTGAACGCTGAGTAAATGTATAATAATATAAAAGAGAACCAAACTACAAGTTTAAACACACCCTTAGTCACAGATGAAGCAGGATATATCACTTTTCTCTGCATTGCTCTGGCTAATGCATCATCTTTATCTGGGATTCATGCCAAACTTTGCATATATCACAAAGACATCATTTAATATCAGAAATCAAACGTATTTTTGTTTTACTTTTCTAATTTAAGACACATTCATCAAGTAAAGGACAATTTGAGCAAGAAACCCAAAGAGCTCATTCCCACTGTGTTTCCAAATACTTGAGGTTAGCTACTTGCAGCTGAAAACATATTATTCTTTTACGTCTGTCCTGTGGCCTACAGGTATTTCAGCAGCTTTATCATGTCTCTCAGGTTTGCCGGGTGCATTCCAGGCAGCGCTGCATGGGGTTCTGACAGTCAGTGGCTATGAGCAGGCTATCCAGGACACCATGAGCTGCGGTGGATGCACCTGTAGCAGGAGCTCCTTCATCGGCTCCTGCATTGGCGCTCAGATACTGCAAGAATCATGACCTTTTGATCTGTTTGACCACATTGTTCTATCCATAAAACAAAGTAGTCTTTATGTAATTATGGTCAAATTCTTTTTGTGTTATCCGTTGAACACTTATCTTTCACTGAACAATCCATTCCTATCTTTCATCAGATGATTATGTCATACATACATGACAGAATGACTGCAGTTACTTTTGCAGTTTTGTAATGGCTTTCAATATCTAATACTGTGACACTTGTTTTTTTTCAGGTTGGACTTGAAGGAATCCCAAGTTCCTGGAAAAGCAAGACTTTGCGATACAACACTTCGTTGGATCTCGCAAAGAAAGTTGTTACTCTCCAACAGCTTTAAACTTTTTAGTATGTAAATTAAATAAGTGGATGATAACTGGATATGGATGTGAAATCACGCATGTTCTTCTGAGTTTTGCCTACAGATCAACTTTCATGGCTGTTGTGATTTTGATGAGACAATTAATGAATGTTTTATCTTGAAATGTTATGAAGTTAAAACTTGATACCTTTGTTTTATTAAATCACAACATGGCATGTAGAAAATTACATACATTGTGGCATTAAACTTACGTTCCGTGGAACACACTTTGTATTTGTCTTGTTATCACTATTAAAAGGTCAAATAAAATCAACTACTCAAAAAAGAAATAACCTGTTCTGACTGATAGCGCCATCTAGTGGGCATTACGAAAACCTCAGCAGTTTATTTTTTTAATTGAACTCTCAAAATTACAATATTCAGCAAGTTCTTGAAATATTGTACCATTTTTCCATTTTGCACGCACAAATAGAGAAACAGCTATAACAATAGATTGAAACGACAAAGTATGAACTTAAAGTTAAAGGGCATCACAAACAAATTCATTTAACACAGATACAGTTCTTTGGGCTTTTTTGATTTTTAAAAACTTTACCGATTACAAAATAAACTTTAAAGGCTGCTTGAAAATGAGCAGAATTTGGGTTTGAGTTACTCCATTTGATCTGATTAATATAAAATTTCCCTAACAACAAAAACAAATCTATAATATATATTTTCTTTTGGAAAAGTCATTCATTTGAATGATGATGACATATTTAGGACTAAGTTGCGATTTAGTTTAACCTCAGCTGTTTATATAGATATAAGATTTTATATTAGAGTTTTTCGACCTCTCACAGTACACTAATATATTATTCTTTCCTATTAATAATGTTATAAGTATTATTTATAAACAAATTATATTTTATTTCCTATTATTTGTTGATCGATTTCTATGGATTGATTTAGATTTATAATTGATTTTTTTTTAACTAATACTTTGGATTAAATTTGATGGCCAAGCTGCTGTCTAAGCAGGCAGCACACTGCGGTTTGAGACACATCCGTTGGCTATCGTTGAGTTAGTCCTTCCTCTTCACACACTCCCTCACTCCTGACAGCTGCTACACTACTGACAGATACGCTCCACAATATCTACACCAGACAGTCTTAACACAGCTTTACGCGTTTATTTTTCATAAGTTATATTCAGTCGCGTTTTTACATGGACTACGCGCTTATTACGACAAAGCGAGCTGAATTCATTTGTGTTTTTGCCGGGCGGATAGAGGCTATCGCTATAGCAGGCTAATCTGTGTTTGCTAACAGGCTTCAGTTCAGACTGAAGGTTTGAAATATCAGTATATTCATAAACACACAAACATGGAGTTCAACGTTAGACGACTAGCAGCGGACGCGGGCACTTTCCTCAGTCGTGCTGTGCAGGTAATGGCTTGAAATGACTTTAAAGGTGTTTAGTATACTGTTGACTTGCGTTTTATTTTCGTTAACTAACGGGACAGATCAGACAAATTGAATGTTCTGTCATAATCTACCCACCCTCGTCTGTCTGTGTGACGGTGGAGCACAAAGACATATTGTTATGAACGGACAGCCGAAGTCGCTTTGCATTTTTTTTCTCCATAAAATGAAAGTGAATGGTGACCAAGACTGTCATTCTGCCTAATTTTGTGTGTATGTGTTACAGAAAAAAAGTCATATTCGTTCAAATTTTTTGTTTAAAACATAAGAGGGTGGAGACAGCATTTTCATTTAAAAAATGTAGTTCGCTATCCCTTTAAGAAGTAATAAATAAAGTTCAGTTATTTGTAGCAATGACAGTTTGTCCAATGTTACTACACCTTTAATAACTATTTTGTGCTAAATATATTCATTACTGACTGTTAAGACAGTCTGTTTATCAGCTGTGTATGTTAGTATGTCAACTGTAATAACTAATGCAGCATATGGTATTTTTAATCTTATCTTTTAAGAATTTACGTAATGATAGCTTTTACTTGATGTTGTTTTTTTATAAGCATTTTCGTTTATATTTATAAATGTAATTTATATTTTATTATTTGTTTTATATATTTTTTGTTAACTTATTTCTTACTCAAAATACAAAATAAAATCATTATTATTGTCACTAATATTAATGTAAACTGTGGGGGAAAAGTCAAATGTTGGCCAGAAATGCAGTCTAGGTCAGCAGCTCACTAGCTTCTGGTTTTAACTAAGACCACAGATGTATGTGTGGACATTGATAGGTCAACTATAAAATGTCAAATGAATGTGTAAACTTTAATATATAAACTGCCATGCTGAAATATCATGTGTTAGAACAGTCAACAAATCTGTTTGCAATCCATGTAGTTCACAGAGGAGAAGTTTGGGCAGGCAGAGAAGACTGAGCTGGACGCCCATCTAGAGACCCTTTTGAGTCGGGCAGAATCCACCAAGCACTGGACAGAGAAGATCATGAAACAGACAGAAGTTTTGCTGCAGCCGAACCCTAGTAAGAAGAAATGCATGATTAAACAAGCCTGTAGTTCAGCAATACTGCAAGTCACCCTAAAAATGCATGCTCATTGGTATCACCAGTACAGAGGAAGTGAAATCAGGGTCACAGTTGGTGAAATCATCTCGCTATTACAGTAAACTTAATTGCAAGAGAAGAGTGTGCAGTTCCCCAACTGCTCCTTGCAATGGGATTAAGACCCGGCCCTAATGATGAGTATTTTTAGCTGTTTAGCCAGGAAAACAGTGTGGGTTCTATCTTACATTTATGATCGTAGCTTGTCTTACAGTAAGAAAGAAACATATCTCTATCTTTATTGTTTTGTTTTTTTTTTGGTGACATATTGGTGTTTTTTTTTACCACACTTTGCTTTATTTTTGTATATAAGCATAAAGGTGAAGGCTCAAGGTTTTCCTTGACAGTCACACAGATCCACAGTAACCGTTTGTAAGATATTTTTGATATGCAGCAGTAATGTGTGCCTATGGTTAAGAGGCGTTGCTTAAGAGGATGCATGTGGTCTCATCTGACTCTCGCTGGTCTTAATTGAATTTGTCTGATGTTTGTAGATGTCCGGGTGGAGGAGTTCTTATACGAGATGCTGGACAAAAAAGTCCCAATGCGTGCCAACAACCACGAGTTACTGGGGGAGTGCATGATCGACTCAGGACACGAGTTTGGACCTGGAACAGCATACGGTAAGCTCATTACATAATCTCGTCCCACTCACACTGGACCCTGACAGTATCAGCTAGTCAGGGTTGGGAGGGTTACTTTTAAAATGTATTCCGTTACAAATTACTTCATTAAAAAAGTATTCACTAACGTAATCCAAGTACCACAATATAAAAGTAATGTAATCTGATAACTTTCGGATTACTTCATTACATATGTAAATAAGTCGTAAGTATAGTAAGTAATAGTTAAGCCTGCATTTCAGCCTGGGCCCCGACTTTTTTACGCCCCTAGGGCCGGGCTTCGGGCCAATTTTCCCGTCATAGTTCAGACGCGGGCCGGGCATCGGGACTGTTTTAGGCTTCTCCTTATTTTTATATTTTAGACATCCATCAATTTGCGCTGGTGGAAACAACACGAGACTGTGCTACTGCGACTGTCAAGAGCAGCTCTACGGTGTTTAGTGTCCCGCAGCAGCAGCAGAGCGAGTGTGCCGTCAGCGCAGCTGAAGAGATCTGCGTTCAAATGCACGCAATAGGCTAAAGCTTGCCGCAAAGCCCTTTTCTGAGTCGGTGTCTCAAGGATGAAGTTGTCGATCCTGACTCGCCATCTCCTCAGATGCGCCTTTAGAGAGAAGTGCATCTTTACGGATTATGATTATAATGAAAGAGTTTTTGTTTTCAATTTGTTTTATTTCGTTAAGTAGCAATTTAAAGTTTTCTATAGATATATTTATAATGTCTGTGAGTCATCTATTCGCTGTGTGTTACTTATCTTTGTCAACCTGGCAACCATGTGCACGCGCGCTCTCTCCACTGTGGATAAACGCGCTTGCTTTCTGAAAACACTGGTTAGCTTGCAGTGTAGCGATCTCCACTTCAATAATCTATTCTCAGAAAAATGTAATTCATCAACTGTTCATTTACGTCACACACACAGAGAGAGAGAGAGAGAGAGAGAGAGAGAGAGAGAGAGAGAGAGAGTGTGTGT